TGACTCTTTTAGTTTTAGGACTTACAAACAACCGTTATGTGAACAAAACTATAATACTCTCTTTAGCAACTTTGTTGCGAGAGTATAAAAAATGTGTGGGTTACACAAAAAAATTATTAAGGAAGTGACTTTTTTTTTTTTATTTAATTTTTTTACTTAGTCCTTAAAATTAATTTACATTTGATTTAAAAAAAAAAATAAATGCGTACATTTCTTAGTATATTCGATAAAACAAAAATAAAGTAATGTAAATCATATATTTAAAGTTTTCTGTTAACAAAGTAATGTTATTTATATTAAAATCTTGTAAACTTGAATAACGATAGATAAAAATATATAAAGAAYRCTAAATACTATCTTCCTGGTCGGTTTCAGGTAGCAAATCTTTAACAGATCCATCCCATTTTAAATTTAAATACTCGTGTTGGAATTTTACGGGTATAATTTTTCTATCGCGAAGCGTTTTTAAATCCTTATCTTTGTTGTTGACATGATTTATGAAAGTTGTTTATTGTATTCGACACTCTCCAGTTTCTGACTTCAATTTCTCGCTGACTGACTAAATGCCATAAAAATATGACAAATTCATATGTCAGTAAATACTTAAACCAAATAAGGAATATTATTCTTTTAAGAAGAGAGAGCAACCCTTTCACTGCTGAAGCTGCATATAATTTAGAGATTTATAGAATGACCGAAATTCACAAGTTACCACGCAATACTTTCAACTATTTTAGACATAAAAGTAAGGCTAAGAGCGCACGAAAAAGCAATTTCACTAATGAGAATGACCAAGCGTGGTCAGCACTTTCGCATACAGCAGTGGAAACATGACAACTCAAAGCTGATTTTTATGCTATAGTTTTAACAGTAGCTAAGCTTTTCTGGCACAGCTAAAGCACGTTCATAAGGAAAAAAATTTACAATTACATTATATTAGAAAAATATTGCAAGCACTGCCATATGAAGGCAAAAGTGGCTGCTGTCAAGGTGGCAGTAGGCGGACTGCTACGAAGTGCAGCGGAAAGTGACCATTCGCTCCGAAAGCAGAGCGGCAATACTAATGCTAAGCTCGCTAACAACTTCTATACTCACTAGAAATAACATTAAGCTACTTCATCTTCAGGCTCGTTTGGATACCAGGCCGTAGGATAGAATGCATAAGATCTTATGAACAACGGCAGTTCTAACTGAACACTGTGAAATTGGTATTTAAGCTGTAAGGCTAAAAATCTTGATGGACATAATTTCAAAAGTTACATGAAGAACGGTTAGGTGGAAACATCAAGGCACTTTCTCCTCCATTATCCAGCCTTTCCAATACTAACGGTACAACACTTCGACAATCGTATCTACTGGGAACCCGAAAACATGTCAGAAACTAACGTTAGCCGTGTTTTCGGTTAGAAAAGGTCTTATATTCCATTATATAGGAGCTTTAAATAACACAAGGAGAGCCTTGTTAAGATCGTACCCATAACCGAACAACATGATTTTAAATAAGTAATTTTAAATTACTAGAGATGTCTTCTTAATTATCACCCTAATGTCCAAAAACTAATTGAAACCAGAGCGGAATATCCAGTCAGAAACAAGATATTTTTGAAAAAAAATCTCAGCAACCATGTTCTACGGTAATTAAGGAAGTATAACCAATATCTTCAAAAAATTCTTTGCAAAGTTTTCTACTGATTAAACTCATCTATTTTAACTTAAAGCTAAAATTAGCAAAATATACATGTTTCGAACTATATAATTGATTTTTACTCAAGAACTTAATCCCTGTCATTAACACATCTTGCTAATCTTCTCACGTTGACATAATCCGTCTTCGTCTTTTAAGGTGAGAAAGAACCTTTTAAACCCGCTCGTAATCATTGACAGCTACATTTTACAACGCTTTTAACTTCCAGCAAAAGTTTACTTCACACACACATACACACTTTCTCGTAGCATCTTCCGTGGCCTTAGTCATTTGCATTTTGCCCCAGAGATCTCGTAAATATCCGTGAGTACGACAGCAGGTGACGCTGGCGGCCAAAAAGGACACAAAAAGTGGCACGAAACTGCAAGCGTCAGTCAATATGCTGACAGCCGACTAAATGCCCAACCGTCGCTCATATTCAAGCTGCTAAAATGGGTAGCTCGCTGAGAGCTGAACCCAATACGTCCGTAACCCGCTGAGCTTGAACCAAATAGCCTTTATGAAAGGCCAACGTTTTCGGCCACTCCACAAAATAATCAATCTTGCTGAGAGCTTTTTGTTTTTCTGTTTTTTTTTTTTTTATCTTCGGACAGACAACAGCATAACGGCATTTAAATATTGTACAAGAGACAGCCTGCGAAAGTGTCATATTGATTGCAATGATAATTATTGTACACAGGCTATTAATAGCCTCATCCAACAGGCTTACAATTTCTACAAACCAAGAGAGGAAGAATGCGTCCGTAGCACGTAGAAATAAAAAGAAGTTGAACAAACCTACGAAAAGTGTCAAAGATGGGTATGCGGCGCTTTCGGCTTCTTTGTCTGCTGCTGTAAGTAGGCCTAATGATTGATTAGCAATTAATTAGCTGCACAAATAACGGTAATTATACAATGCCGGAAATGTGTCTCGCTCGCCGGAAGGCAGCGTCATTTACTTTACACTCAAATGCCGGCGAACAAAAGGGACGGCGGTAAACAAACCCAAAATACTTCGGTATAAACGGGAGTACGGCCAAAAAGACAGTTGGAGAGTGTGAGGGTACTATCTGTTGTCTTTATGCTGCTTGAAGTGAAACGCACTATTTC